CCTAGTGCTCTTGCTTTGGAAGCAAGCCTTGCTGATGAGAAAAGAGATTTAGCACCAAGTAAATGTGTTTTAAGACTGAGGAGCAAAAACTAATTTCTCATCTTGATTCGCTGAAGTCAAGCATAATCGCTTACAATATTTCTGGGGAAGGAAAAAGACAAATGTGATTCTAGTAAGCAAGGTGATCTATCATATTATTTTTATGCTAGTCACCAGGAATTACAAGCTTGGAGTAAGCCCCTACTTACCATTAAAGAATAAATGAACCATAAGTTTGATAAATGAAAAATTAGACAAAAACATACTGATGTCCCCAAGGGGCTTTTCTTAATGAAAACCAATAGAGTGTGTTTTCTCATTTAAAAAATAGTAGCAATTTTTGAGTGGGATATTATATCTCTTAGCATCTATTATTGCCTTGGTGTAGGATTTAATGGATATTCCTTTCCAAGTAGAAATGGAAAGCTTTTGTCTAGAAGTATCCGGCTGGTAAAATTATTCCAGGGCAGATAAAGAAATACAAATAAGCTGCTTCTGTGCTTTATTTCTGATTTTGCATTGTATCCTTCAAATGGGTTGATGACAGGCCAGTGGTTTGTTTTGTCTTTGGCTTATTGATTGTCCCCTTTTGCTCCAAGATTAGCAAGCAGGCAATTTGAAATTTGCATTAATTTAAAATAATTTATGCAAATTATTAATGACCTTTCACCATGGATGATAAAATGGCTGGGGCAGATGCCACGACACACCAAAGTGTACATATTCTGTATGAACCCGTCTCAACAGCACACTTCAAACCTAGGCTTATATGTTTCCCAAGTCCAGTGCCCAATTCACATAGCAAAGGAACAATGTGACCCTGGTTCTCGACTGTGCATATAAAGCCTGTGTGTACATGGAAGTGAGAGGTGGACCATAAAGAAGGCTGATCGCCGAAGAATTGATGCTTTTGAATTATGGTGCTGGAGGAGACTCTTGAAAGTCCCCTGGACTGCAAGAAGATCAAACCTCTCCGTTCTTAAGGAAATCAGCCCTGAGTGCTCACTGGAAGGACAGATTGTGAAGCTGAGGCTCCAATACTTTGGCCACCTCATGAGAAGAGAAGACTCCCTGGAAAAGACCCTGATGTTGGGAAAGATGGAGGGCACAAGGAGAAGGGGACGACAGAGGACGAGATGGTTGGACAGTGTTCTCGAAGCTACCAAAGTGAGTTTGACCAAACTGTGGGAGGCAGTGGAAGACAGGGGTGCCTGGTCCATGGGGTCATGAAGAGTCGGACACGACTAAACGACTAAAGAACAATGACAGGGTAGACCTGTATGGTCTGTGCACAAACCACCATCGATGTGTAAAGGTCAGCGGTGGGACCTGCCACAGCAATCCGATTTACCCTCCATGTGTTCACTACCACTCATCTGAACAGGACCCAAAACATATACATATAATAAGAACAGAAGAAAAGCCTGTTGGATCAGGCCAATGGCCCACCTAGTTCAGCATCCTGTTATCCCAGTGGCCAACCAGTTGCTTGTAGGAACCATGTGAGCAGGGCCCAAGCACAACAGCACTCTCCCTTCCAGGGGTGCCAACTTGAATAAAGTATTGCGGGGAGTGGGTGGGGTGGCAGGTAAGCCCCACCCTGCATAACTGATCGTATGACACAGTGCACACACACCGTTTGAATAGTCTGAAGTTCATACTTGTCTGCATATTTGGGACATAAACATCTGTAGGTCTCTGCATTATTCGAAATCCAGAAGGCCAAGCAAGTGACAAATGAACTAAACTTTAATAGCAAAAAGGAGACATCAGGTTACATTATCCATAGCCCAAGTTGTTGCCACCAGGACCTTTCCATATAAACATGTTACCTGTATATATCTTATACATGAAGCAGGGTGAGTAATGGCTCACAAAAGCCATAAATACATAATACAACATCACCTTTGAACTTTGCAGCTTATGCCAGGGTCAAAGCTTGTATGGACTGTAAACATGATTTATGCAGCAAGTCTTTCTATCTATTTATCTATATTGTGCTGTCCTAAGCCACATGGTCATTTAGCTTCATTTAAATTGTGTAATTAAATTATTAATATTATTAACCAACAAGCTTCCGAAAATTTCAATATCCTCACCACTTTGACTTTGTTCTTGTCCTCATGTTTATTTCTATAGTTTACATGTTTTTAAGTGGGCAGGTGCTTAAAAAACATGCCCCCCCCCCAAATTTGCTCTTTTTAGTTAGAATTAAAAAATACTATTGCAAGTGGATTAAATTCTATGTAGTGCTTATTTTCAAGCAAAGCTACATACTGGTTAATCTTCATAATCATCCTTTGTATTGTAAGGAAATTCATTAAATAATGCAGTGGTGTTCTTATCCAGAAATCTCTGCCCAGAATGCCTTTCCCACTCATTTCAACTGAGAAAGCCAATCCACTTGGCTTGTTCTGAAACGCTAGCTTTGACTAATGGGTGGTGAATGCATAACATGGATCACCTCCAAGAACAATATTGTTTGAATTTAAATGACAGTGGTCAATGAGCATTTCTTTTGATGGCATCATTTGATACAGGCATAGGTTTATTTTAGACAATTCCTTCCTATGATTTGGCTCTGTGCCCTGGTTACAACAACCTGCCATTTAAGTAGCTCTGAGAAATTGCACCGACAGACAATGTAAATGTCTACTCACAAAGTTAGCTTCACAGAAGTGTTGTTCCATTGCAGGTTGGATTGATTAGCAGGTCAACAAAACCATTCTCTTTGTTCTGCAAGGTCTGTGTGAAGGGACTGTAGGATAACCAGCCTCACATAACCAACACGCTTAAGTCTAATTAATGAAAGGGGTTAATACCATAGAGTAAGCTGTCCTTCCAGGCTTAGCTATGTCACTTCCCCTTACCTTGGGAGGAAATAGGTAATCAAGCCTTTGTTCCCCACCTTGTCTACCTGTGATTTCAGTGTATGAGGAGGTCTCAGCTGGTGGCTCCAGCTCAGCTGCATGGCTCTCTTGTGTTCCTATAGCAATAATTTAGGAACTTTTACCACTTTGTAACTAAGCGATGTTTTACCGCCTGTGCAACTTCTCCTGACTGATTTATGGAAAAGCACATGACTTTGGCATCTGGAGAGTTTGTAAGTAAGCCATTTTTCAATTTACCAAACATGTTCATTTCTTATGCTTGGGAGAAGAGGGAAACTGTGGAAGGAACTTTTAAAGGGGACAATTTTGGAACTCACTTGGAAAGGCATATCTTGGGTGTGAGTCCTGGAAGACCTGCTTCCCAAGTGGCGGAGGACCCTTTCCCAAGTGGCGGAGGAGGTAACCATAGTTTCCTAGATTGGACAAAATGGACACTGGTGGTTAATTAGAGGCTTCCTTGTTTAACTGAGGCCCACGCATGTCTCAGCTTAATAAGAGCACCTGAAACAGCTCACTGAGTGAGATCCTTGCTTTATCCAGTTCAGTACTATTCTGACTATGTTCCAGAATCCCAGGCAGGGGTCTTTCCTATCATCCACTGTCTGATTATTTTAGATTGGTGATGATAGGGATTGAACCTGGAATTTTGCATGTGCAAAAATATGGTTATGAGCTGACTAACTCAAGACATCCAATGGAGAAGGCATGTAGATGGTGGTGTGTTAGTCAGAGTATTTGGGTGACCCTTAGTTTGTCTTGTATTTATTGTGTCAATATGCTTTTGTCATTTTTAGTAGAAGTCTGCTAGGCAGTATAGGCCTTCAGCTTGCCAGGTTTTTATCTGGAAGTTTTGTGCTGCGTGATGGAAAAACGGGTGTTGTTCCAGGGGGATTGGTGGGGATGGGGTTGGGGACAGTTTGCCTACTTTTTCTGGACTGTGTGCACCTCTTTAGCGTTCCTAAGTTTGTTTTGGAGGAATGGGTATGCTGTGGTGGGGATGTTTTCCAGTATGTCTCCAGGTGTACCCATTGTTTTCTCTTGTCTTCTAGAATGTATGGGATCATGTGGCACACTTGGTTGGCAATGTAATATCATTCTATGTTGGAGATTCCCCATCCTCCTTCTGAGGAGGAGAGGCACAGCTAATTCTTGGCTTTTTGTGTGAGAAAATAAACAAGTTTTCTGCCATTATACTGTATACAACACTAATGTTTCATATCTGATATAACCGATCTGTAGAAAAGACTCTAAAACCTGAAAAAGAGACAGCGCACGTACTTTTGTAAATGATAAAATCTTAATAATAATAATAATAATAAATAAATAAATAAAATAAAATAAAAAAACAACTTCCAGTGGAGATGCCAAGGGTTGAACCTTCGGTGTTATATGTGTGAACTGCTGTGCTATGTATGGCTTTGCCCAAGGTGGAGTAATCAGCAAACATATTTATCTCAGATTGCATTTATAGAGTATATGAGTCACTGGAACAGTACCTTCTGGTGGAGAGCACTGTGAAAAATGATGCTATGCTTGTTTAGTGGCATGCTTCCTGCATTGCTCCCGTAAATGCCAAAATGATTCATTGTGTGTCTGCCAAATTGACACTGTATAATTATGACATTTTCATTTCTAAAGCACTTTTGAAAAGTAAACTAAATTCTAACCTGTCTTGGAGATCACCAACGCAGAGCTAACTAGATGCTTATCCTGTGGCATGTGAGTTCAACAGATGGGAGCTAAGATGGAGATCCAAGTGGTTTGCTTTTACAAACTTATGCACCAAATGTGACAGTGCACCCTTACGTTTTTATAAGCGTTCTTTGAAACATTGCTGTTATCCGCTGCTGTGTGTTGGATGCAAATAAACTGGACTGCGGGGAGAGGTAGCACCAAAAAATGGAAGAACAATGGAATAGGCAAACCTCAAGCTAATGAAAAAATAAAAAATTTGTCTAGTAGCACCTTAGAGACCACCTAAGTTTGTTCTTGGTATAAGCTTACATGTGCATGCACACTTCTTCAGATACTGGTTGATTTCATGCAGCTCAGTGTGGTGCCTTCCATGGTTTTAGATTCAGGTAGGTAGCCGTGTTGGTCTGACGCAGTCGAAATATATACTAAGTTTAAGGTATAAGCTTGGTATAATCTGAAGAAGTGTGCATGCACACGAAAGATTATACCAAGAACAAACTTAGTTGGTCTCTAAGGTGCTACTGGACAATTTTTATTATTATTTTATATATTTCGACAGCGTCAGACCAACACGGCTACCTACCTGAATCTGAAGCTAATGGACAGTAAGAATTTTAATAAATACGACTTTTCTGGGTGAGTTTTAACTGGTGCTCCAGAATAAGAAGCATGAGAACCCTTTTCCTCTGAGGAAGACCTATGGGCAAAATGCGCTGGGGAGTCTTCAAATAATAAATCACTATGTTCAAGCACCATCTTAAGTCTTGTCTCTTCCTTTGCTCTCCCCATGGGAAGGGACAAAATATCCTTTCAACACTGGCCTATTTGTTTCCCAGGCAAATCCTTAGAGAAGGGGTTGTGAGTTTCTGTGTGCTTCTGTTTCTTCTTCTCCCCCACCCCACAACAAAAATGAGTGGGGAGGGTTGTTCGGCTTTGTGTAAGAAGGTTAACAATATCAGCTGCATGGAGGGGGAGTGGGCAGGATGGATTTGTAGAGGGAGCGAAGGCACGGGATTGGGGTGAGGAGGTTTAGGAGCATGAAGGTATGGAGCAGCAGAGTTTATCCCTCATGTGCTACTGCCGAGAGCCAGGTCTGCCCCTGAGACGTTACTTAGCACATTACTAAACCACATTGTGTGAGTGCAGAGCTAGTTAGTGGCGTGGAGCAGAAATGAAAAGAATAAGTTTTGGCGTGGACACCCATATTTTGGCCCGAGGCAATTGTGGCAGATGTAGCATCGGTTCTAATAAACTACAGGTCCCTGTTGTCTGTATTGTTATATAAGAAAAGTAATAATAATGGTCTCCGAGAGTGAAAACATCCATCAAAGGCCGAGGAAAAAACCCCTGACATAATTTAGAAGGAAAATAAAGAAGAGACTTTAATTTTGAGGGAACTGCTCATAAAGAAACCCGCGGCGGGTTTAATGAAACATCATTTTGGGCTTAGCAGTTCTTTCATGTGAAACTATTTTCTGAGAACCGAGCGTTGTTGGAAAGGGGTGTTTGTAATTATGGAAGCATATTGCAATAGCAGGACAGAAAGGAGCGGATACAATAGCAGTAGTGTATTCCTAGACAGAGATTTGCTCCGAAACATTGCCGAGAATGAATTTACACTGGTTTTATTTTTAACAAATGGGCCGTGCCATATTATTAACCTCCAAGAAAACTTGGTTAACAAGGGCCCCTTTACAGTGAAATGTGGGTGGGCCATGCCAAAAAATGTACACTTTTTTTTGTCCTTAATCAAATGACAACTAAACACAAAGGAGCATACGTGGGAATTGTATCGTGTTCTAAATATGGAATATGAGCACCACTCTGCCACACGCAGCATTCTGATGATCAAAACATTCAGACGTCTGTTTAAATCTTGCTGATTTCTATGAGAGAGTCACAAGGGCATGCTAAATCAGTGGGAATGAACTGTGCTCAGCTTGAAGAGGGGTCTTGTAAGCACATAGCAATGTATAGGTATTTTATGGGGATCCCAAACCCGGATCTGCAGTGTGTTGCTGAGATCTGGCAGAACGGATGTCCCTCCCACTTCATGGAATTTCTAGCTGCCATTTAACAGTGCAAGTTCTTTCTGCACCTTTTCGTGGGTAGTTGTTGCATAGCTGAGCTCAACATGCCTCGCACATCTTTATTTATCTTTTAAAGGCCGCTTCAGATATCATTCCCCCCCCTCACATTTTTCAAAACCTTCCATATGTGGCTGCAATATTCACCTTTTGCAAGCCTCCTGGGGCTTCCCACCTCAAGTGTGAGTCCCCATACTGGTAGCTGACATTTCCAAAATCAAAGAGACGTTCCTCTTTGGCCTGTTTACTGTATGCTTTTTTTTTTTTAAGTGAGAGCAGAGAAATATAATACTGGAATAACTCTCAGAAAGTCTTTGATATGCAAACGTATGCCTTCCCATATAGTGGGAATTGCAGACCATATATTTTAAAAAATCCTTAAAATTAACCAGTTAATTAAAACACTCAATCTACAGCATGGGGTGCTTCCACACCACAGTTTGTTGTGGGGTTTTTTTGTGCTGCTCTGACTCAGAAGATTTTTGCAGTGTCCACATAACTTTGTCCTAATCAAAATGCCAGTTTCTACTTTTGCTTCCTTTAATTATTTTTCATTATTTTACTAGAGGTTACAGAATGCACATGCACTCCTCTCTCCCAAATTCCTTCCCCAACTAGCACCCAACTGCAGCTTAAAGCACCTTTTAAACCACCATTTTAAACCACAATCGCTGGCTTGTACATACTGCTAAGCCACGCTTCTGTGAAACTGAGTCACTTAACTCTGTTAGTCACCTTAGCAGCACTCGTTCAGAGAGAACCACACCTTCTTTTGAAAACCAATTTACGCTAGTAAATCACAGCGTTTGGGAGCCCTGCTTTAGATATTGTAATACACTGCATTTTGAATATTCCCATACCCTTAAAATGGATAGAATTGCCAGGCTAGGGTTCTAATTCCAATTGGAGAATTAGGTTGTAAACATACACACTATGTTCCATTGTGATAGTGGAATGCTCAGGGAAGAAGTCACATTAGGAACATTGGTTCATTGAATTCAATGTTGTCTGCACTGACTGGCAGTGACTTTCCAGGGTTACAGACAGGTGGCATTTCCAGCCTTACCTGATTGGACCATCTGGATACAAAGCAGCTGCTCTACAACTGAGCTACAGCCCTTTTCCTCTTCATTTCATACAAAGGAGCAGAGGATGCGAAATGGTCAGGTGTAGCCCAACTATCCACGTGATATTATGCATCTAACAAAGTTTGAACTAGAGGACCTCACTTTGCTAGTTGTGTTAAAGCCAAGTGAGTGATGCATCCCCCTGCACCTTTCCATCAATTTAATAGCATCAGAATGGAACCCTCTGCTTTCTGAAACCAAAGGGAGACTCCATTTTGGCAGCCCAAAGCAAGCGACTGTTATTCATCTGTCCACATGGAATGATTTTTCTGAAAAGAAGCTTGCAGATCGTATTTATATTTGTGGTCAAATGGTCCCAACTGATTTCCAAATGGCCAGCACACCTGCAATTTCCAGTATGGAGTGTTTCCATTATGGCACACTTTTATCTGGTGAAGCTAATACATGAATTTCCCCAAAGGATAGTTGTGGTCTTTAATTAACTTCTTTCCCAATGGTCTGTGTTAACGCATTATACAATATTTGGCCAATTCCTTAGCTTGTCTTTCCCCTCCTGCAGAGGAGTTATTGGTTCTCATTCCCAGGGGGAGGCGCATAAACACAAAGAAGTCGGATGAATTAAAGAAGGACTGGATAGTGATCATTAGACTCCCTTCCTTCCTCTTCCTTCCTCCTGTTGTGATTTTTATGTAAATATTGCACCTGAATTGTTCACTTTTAGGCTGATTTAAACGAAATCTGCTTTCATTGGTAAAGCTTGAGAGCATTTGCACTTCAGAAGCAGATGCCCATATGTCAGAGGTGGGTAGGGAACATTTTTCAGCCTGAGAATTGCACTACTCCAGTGGAAAGCTGCCAGCTACTGCGTTCCAGTAGTGGATGTTTGCCAGATCCCCACACAATCACACATCTTTTAATAAACACACACACACAATATTTCCCATGGAAACATTGACAGGTACTCTGTCTAACTCTAAAGCAGTGGTCACCAGTCTTTCTAGACCAGTGGCCACATTTTGAAATTTGAGAGAGTGCTGTGGGTGTCAGTCACAAAATGGCTGCCATGTGGGCATGGTAGAACAGAAAAAGGCGTCCATGGGAGTCATGGCATAACACAACATTGCTGCCAGTGTTGGGGGCATAACACAAAATTAGAGAGAGTGTAGCCATTGCAGATCCTCCAAGTGTCCCTATTTTCCAGGGACAGTCCTGGATTTATAGAAGCCTTCCCGGTTCCTGATTTTATCCCGGAATGTCCCGCTTTTTCTTAGGGTGTATGTCTCTATTTTCATCGGAAAAATGATGAAGGGTATAGAATAAGACATCCCTATTTTCATCAGAGAAATAGGGTATGCCATTGCTGCTTCTCCTCACACTCACACCCCAACAACACCATGCGTACCATGGGGAAGTCTTCCTAGCCCCACTTGTGGAGTTATTACTGTTAAAGGCAAAAGAACCCAGTTTTTTGCAATGCTACCTTTTAACCCAAAGCCTAGGCCAGGCTTCCTCAACCTCGGCCCTCCAGATGTTTTTGGCCTACAACTCCCATGATCCCTAGCTAGCAGGACCAGTGGTCAGGGATGATGCTAACTGTAGTCTCAAAACATCTGGAGGGCCGAGGTTGAGGAAGCCTGGCCTAGGCTGTCATCCTCTACCCACTTTCTTGGGAGTAAGCCCGGTTAACCCAAAGAGATGTCTGAGTAGACATGCATCTCATTGCACTGTAAAGTTAATTATACAGTGAATTTTTTGCAAAGCTTCTTTGTAAAGTTCTCACATTTTGCAATTGCAATTGGTGGAGGGAAATACTTAATTATTGTGTAGTATTTGCATAAAACAACTTTTGAGGAAGGGTATCTTTCTAGGCTCCCTAGGTTCAAAGACTTGGACTCTTGGTTCAGGAAATCCTGAAAGCTTCATTGGATGAATTCAGCACACAGTCTCAGCATCAGCTTTTCATACAGGATACTGGTTCACTGGTTCATGAGAAGAGTTATAGGAAACATGGCTAGACATTGTCCCAACACTTATCCTGCATCTAGAAACTTAGATGTGTGGATTGGCCCATAGTGGAAGCTGATATAGGCCTCCACCCATAATTTTGTCAACATTAAGAGAACCAAAGGATTTACCATTGAAACTGCCAAGTCAAAGCTTCACTAGTCACAGTTCTGCACAGTTCCTAAGGGGGGTCCAATGCTTTCAACCATCTCCAACATATAAACTACACTCCCACCCCCCAAAATATGAAAAATCAATCTCTAGGCTCTCTTAAAATTTGGCTGAGATTTATGGAAATATCCCCACATGCTTCGGAAAATCTGGCTTCCATTTTTGCAGCAAAGAGGAAACAATCTCCAGGGGAGGTTTATTTCAGAGTTCTCAACCTAATATTCCAAACTTTTCCAAGCCCTGC